CTCTCTCTCTCTCTCTCTCTCTCTCTCTCTCTCTCTCTCTCTCTCTCTCTCTCGTTTAGTTTGATTCAGGAGGGTTACAATTCAAGTGCTTTTCTCTAAAGGGACAGCTAAAATAAAAGAAAAACAAGACAGCCACTGCCTTTCTTGGGGACACCAGCAGAAGGCGTGCGGCAGCTGGTGGTTTTGCTTTGACATCCGTTGCTGTCAACAGTGCTTTTAGCAGTTCCTTTTGGTCACCAGGGTCATTTTGACTCCTTATTTTCTATTAGAAACAGCTAATTTGGAAGTTGTCCAGAGACTGCTCTACCATATGTTACCCATTCAACAAACTGTCCCAATTACAGGAGCCGGGCTGATAGTGCGCATGAAATCCAGGCTCTTTTGTTCATTAACTTCGCCGGCCGTCAAGAGAACGTGTATTCATTTTTTTCTCTCCTCTAACTTGTCATTGTGAAAGCTCAGAGGTGGCCAAGCAGAGGGATGAGTGGGAAACTATGGGACAATAATAATAATATGGCAAAACTCAATAGCATAATCGGACCAGCAACGCACTGCCGGACAACTGATCACATCTGATCTTCTCAGCAGCTCTGATGATCCCCCTTGTCACAGCGCTGAGGTCACTGGCCAGTGGGAGGTAGGGATGGCTTACCCACCAACACGTCCTGTACCAATTCCAGTGCTCTGGCTACTCCATCAGGAATATCTGCTTATCAAATCTTAGGTAGTTTATTCTCCCAATTATTCCAATTTCCTTTTTTGGGAGAAAATATGGAATTTAAGAGAATCGCAACAGTCTTCCAAGAGTTTCAGGAGTCTCATCATCTGATTCGCCAGAAAAAAGGTGTGTGCACCTCACAGCACTCTGGTTTTGAACATACTCCTGAAGGCTGCTGTCCCCACCAGCAATGGTGGCGTGGGGCTTGGCCAAGGCAAGAGGCCGTTGACTTTCTATTTTCAACTGCAAGGCTCAGACTGTATTAGAATTCTTTTGGTCCTTATTATGGTAAGAGGCTTAGTGTCCCAATGCCTTAGTCGTTACTGATTTGTATATTGAGATCCTGGCATTGGGGCTTCGGTGAATTGCCTTCGGTGAATTGCCTGTTTTTCTTTAAAATCACATGTCTATGATGTTAACAGGTATCTGTAAATACTTGAGACATCCTGACTGGGTGCTTCTGTAGGGACTCAATATTCCTGTCAATGATATTAAAAGATCTAAAATGGCATGTTTACAAGAGGGGATAATTAAATCTTTATTACATCGTATTTTGTCTTGGAAACGGATATGCAACCATAACTGAGAGGCAGTCCTAAGATGATAAGCAGTGTTCATAAATGGAGTGAACAAGTACTCCAAGGGCTGGAGTCCCAGGAGACACTATCGGTCCTAAACTTAGGGAGTAGGGCTCAGGCATTTTCTAAATTTCTCAGTCACCCTAATGTGAAGTTATGTTGAGAAGCACTCTGTTAAATCACCCCCATGCCAGTTAGTAACTAAATGGATAAAATCACTATTATTTGTTCTTTATCTGACTTCACAACTAACTTACACTATACCATATTTCCACTTAGAGCCCATTCAAAGTTGCATCTACTAAGGCGGGCTCTCAATCCAAGATGCACTTCAAATCACTGGTAAATTTTTAAAGGTACAAAAATCAGAGACCAGAGTTAGATACTTAGATGCAGAAAGCTGTGGTGGGGTCTAGGCACATGTGTTCATTAAATGCTCTGAAGGCAATTCTGTTGAGCCAGCATTGAAAACCATGGGATTAATGCTGTGGTTCATAATCAGGGCCAGTTCTGCCTCCCATGGGACCAAATGTGGCAATGTCTGGAGACATTTTTGTTTGTAACACAAGCGGGGATAAGGGGAGGATGCTACTGGCATCTGGTGAGTAAAGGCCAGAGATGCTGCTTAATGTCCTACAGTGCTCCGGACCATCTCCCCCACCACAAAGAATTAATCAGCCCGAATGTCAATAGTGGGGCTCTTGAGAAACTCTTACTAAGGACCACACTTATCACACATATTACTTAAAAAGCGCCGGTGAAGTCTGTGTTTATATCAGGATATTATGAAATTACAAATTTATATTTGGAGTGGATAAAAACTAACCAAAAGACAAAACAAAAATAATTCAAACACTGGAAAAGCCCACCCAGTTCTATTTTGATTTGTGAACTAAAACTGCATAGACACGGATGATTAACGTGTTGATGGCATTTACTTAGATTTCATCTGGCACTTTTAAATGGCATTTGATACAATTAACAATTGTTAAAATGCTAACTTATAGGAATATAGGATTATTCAAATCTCAGGTAGTTTTAACATTTCTCTTTCTTTTGAAAGTTGATTTCATAAAATAAAGCTAGACGCTTGTGGTTAATGTAGCATGCAAATACTTACACACTCATCTGTTTTGTGTGTGTGTTTGAACATGTGTGGTTTGAGTAACTTAGAACAATCTACATTTCTACCCATTGCTAATCAAGAGTTAAGTGTCTAGTTCTAAGCTGGGCTTAGAGTAGGAAATGTTGGATTCATACAGAGAAATCAAGATATATTTCAGAGTGAAAGTATTAAACAGCTCTCTACTGGTGTCAGTCATTGCTTAGTCCTTTGGGCATCTTTACTGTCTAAGGAGCTTAGTCTATGTGAATACAACAAACCTTGCTGTCGATCTCACTGCTCCCCAGCGCAGACTGGATTACGAAGAGCAGGGCATCCGTGAGCCCCTCACATTCCCGCATCCTCCTGCGGGCCTCCTCTCCGGCCGAACTAACATTCCTGCAAAGCAAAAGGACCCATTAGCAACCTTCAAGGTGGTCACCAAGAGAATGCTCTTCCTAACACACCTCCTCTCTTAGTTTCAAAGAATATACTTTGCTTGCCTTATCAGAATGTTTATCAAAAATATAGTTTTACTGAGTAGGGATGGCTTCAACCAGTTCTACTAATTCATCAAATGCATCCTAGAACTGGGAAAGTCACAGATATCTGTAATGCAACTAGAGAAATGAAGAGTGCAGAATTGGAACTTGTGATCTGTCAGTGTCCCATGACCACTGAGTGTGGGAAACTTTCAGGAAGTCTTCAAAGCTTACTTCCTTTACCATCGATGAAGGAATCAGAAGCTCTTTGGTTCAAAGGATTCTTCTTTGGGAAGTGTGAAACATTTTTCAAAGACAGAACTTCCAACTTACTGAAAAACTGCCTAAAAAATATACCTACTTTGGTCCAGCCAGAGTAAACTAAAAATTTATTCTAAGAACATAGTGAGGGATTCCTGTGAAAATTTAGCCATGGGGATGCCCATGGCACCTTTTAAAGGCAGGAATTAAGCAAACTCCTTCCTGTACTGGCACATGCCAGTACATGGAATAGAGCCAAGAGAAGGAGCCAGTTGTAATGAAATGCACAGCTAGGAAGCAGAGAGATATAAAAAACATGAGACAATCCTAGTCGCCAGACCTATAAAAAGCATCAGATTACCCTAGTCAAAGATGAACCTTTGGAATGCTTTTAGGTACTCCACCACCTATAAGAGTGTTCTTGGTCTCCTAACCATGGATAGGATTGGGTTCCAGTTGAGAATTTCTGCAGTGACTGACTTACCAACACCACAGCCTCTGGGAGGGATTCTGGAGGTGGGTTTGGGGAAGGAAAGGACAAAGGGACTGAAAGAATCTAGAAGCCGTGGGGAAGGAAGAGAATGATCTAGGTTGGGCAATGGCTCTCCAACGCCGGCTACCAGCAGGAGCACCTGGAGGACCTGTTCATGTAGAGTGCTGGGCCCCACCCTGGGGTCTCTGGTGGAGTTGGGGAATTTGCATATTTGGGGGTGCTGGTGTTGAGAATTTCTACTGCTCTAGTTCTAGTCTAGGGGGAGGTTTGGTTGGGGAGGGTAATGCCCTTTGTTGAGAGCCCCAGGCAGCCACCTGGCAGATCCCAAGAATCTGTGGCCTCGGATAGAGCCTACAGGAGAAGTTGAATGGGGTGACTCTCCACTCCCACACTGTAATTGACACACAAATTCGCATTTCATTTTCACAACATCCGTCACTGTTACACTTCATTCTATTTTATAGATGAGAAAACTGAGGCTCAGAGCCGTTGTCCAAAGCCACCTATAAAAGTGTTCTTGGTCTCCTAACCATGGATAGGGCAGCAAGTGGAGAAGCTAGAAGCAGCCCAGGTCTGTAAAGAAGAAAGCAAGGGCCTGATGCATGACATAGATGGACTAGGTGTTTTTTTTAAGGAATTAACATAAATGCTACTGAACATAAATGTTTCCTTTGATATCTAAAAAGTTCTGCAGAACATGTATTAAATAAGATCTATCAGCATTTTAATGTAATACTGGGAAAGGTTATTCAATTCAAATTAGTATTTTTGGCATTTACTGATCTTAAAATATAAACAAAATCCCTTGGCTCCTTAGATACTACAACTGGGCAAATATTGACAGCACTTTTATGTGAAGTGTTACAGCTTCTGCTTTGGGGTGGTGAACCCTCCTTCCTGACAGGATCCCTAGGGCAGGGAAGATCTAACTTCCCGGTAGGAAAAAGTGGTAAGATATATCCTGGTATTATTCTAAACCAGGTCAATGTCTTCTGTAAGAGAGAACTTTTAGGCAATTCTCCTTGAAGTGATTTTCACCAGAAAGAACTTTGAGGCTGTTATAGAAATAGGTTTGTTCAAAAATTCCAATCAGACCTCTTTGGCCAGAAGATTGCTGGACGGCAGTGGTTGTATCTTAAATCTTGCCTCTTTGTACTTTGATGAGGTCATATCTCCAAAGAAAGAGTGATAGAATTTAGACTTGAGAGACTTTAGGACAGCTCATGAACACCCTGGTCTGAAATTCTCTATATTCTTCTTGCACCCATGAACGCTCAGTCTTTCTTTTGAGTAGCTTTGCCACGGGGGTGGGCTGCCTCTTGATTCACACAAATAAACTTTATAATCATCAGCCTATCTTTACTGGTAATCAATAAATGGGTAGGGCCAACCAATGAACCAATTGGAAAGATCAGGAATTAACAACTTTGTCAACATTATAAGTTGTCAATATTAATCTAAGCATTTTTCTTTATTTTAATTTCTGTTCTATTCCAGTCTAGTCTCCTCTGAAATTAAAAAAAGTTATTAACTGGCTATTATATTAACATATTTAAGATATTGAGAAATGAGAAAGACTTATAAGTTAGGGTCCCTACAGGGGAAATGACTGGGACACACACACACACACCTCTCTACGATACAGCAGGTAGGATGGAGTTACTGCAGTGTCTTCAGGTAGGATGAAAATCAATATAAATTTTTAAACAGAGTGATACATGCACATGCCTCTTTTTCAGTGGGGTGCAGTGTCCTACAAGCCTTTGGGGTTGGGTTTCCACTCTTACTCAACTATTCCTGAATGAGCGAAACACAGCATGAGTACCTTTGGTTTTTCATTCTGGAGGAAAGGAGGGCCTTCTTTTTCTCCCTTTCTCCCCAAACACAAGATGTACCATACTGTGCATGCTTCACTGTTTAAAAATTTTTTAAAAAGGCAATAACACTGTGTGTTGGTCACTGCACAGTTAGTTGTAATTATGGTCTTTCATGTTCAACAAAGAGCCAATGTTCAACCCACAGAGTTCCATCCTCTCCTTGGACTTAGACCACCCTCTGTCCCCCTTGAGGAGGGGATTTCCACATCTGGCTAGAAACTGGTACAGCAAAATTCTATGCATTAATGTGACATTGAAACAAATACTTGTAGGTTATTTATAAAAACCACAATGATGGTATAACACCTATCCCTTAGAAATAATCTTTATAATCTGTATTGAAATGTCAGTAGATAGATCATTTGGAAATTTCTGCTCAAAGTAGATTCTATATACTTTTTATTTAATAGATAAAATTGAAACAATTTATTTTTATATTTCACCATTGTCAAGGAAACAGAGACCTCAGTCCTACAGCCACAGGAACTGGATTCTGGTCACAACCTGAAGGAGCTTGGAACCAGATTCTCCCAGGAACCATTAGTAAGAAACACAACTCTGTTGACACCTTGATTTTAAACTGATGAGACTGATGTCTAATTTGTAACCGACAGAAGCTGCAGCACAATAAATCTGTTTTGTTCTAAGTCACTAAGTCTGTGGTAATTTGTCACAGTAGCAATAGGAAACAAATACAAAGTTTGTTTTATTCAAGGGTAAATGGAACTTTTCTCAACATCATCCCTAAATATTTCACAAGCCACTCCTTCCCTGAAAACTGCTTATCTACAGTGGGTTCATACAAGTTTTTAGAAGGTATTTCTAGATGATCAACTAGAAAATATAAACAAAATCCCTCGATTCCTTAGATACTACAACTGGGCAAATACCGACAACACTTTTATGTGAAGTGTTACAGCTTCTGCCTTGGGGTGGTGAACCCTCCTTCCTGACAGGATCCCTGGGACAGGGAAGATCTAACTTCCCAGTAGGAAAAAGTGGTAAGAGAGTCCCTGAGTCCCACCCCCTGCTTCTCCCCCCTAGACTCAGAAATTGTACCCAAAGCCCCTTCTCTCTCAGAACAAATCTGTCACATGTATAAGAAAATTAAAAATTCTTCCTAGGGGCATGTGTGTTGAGGAGGGGTGTGGCTTATGAAGCATCTTCCCTCAACTATGCAAGGAACACTGATGAGATGTGATGATGCACTGCTTTGTTTGTCCCATTGCTAATCTGATTAAGTCACATGAGTGCCACTAAATATGTGGCTATCAGCTTGGTCCAGATTGCTCTCTTGCCTGGTTGACATCTTGCACTTCGGCCAGTCCTCTTTCAGGCAGAAGAGGCCCCTAAAAACCTCAGTCTTCACAGCTTCCAGTGAATAGGAACTGCAGCTGTTGGTATCCTATGATGTGGGAGGGGAGGACACTGGATACAAGGGAGAGGACCAGGCAGTTTCCTAGCTCTGCTGGAGTGAAGTCTGTATTATGGCCTCATTACTTTGAGGGACTTTCTGGAACATCATCTGAAACACCACCCTTAAGGACCCAGTGCGGTGACCAGTATTGATTAGCTACACCCCTGGAAAGTTTTATTGGGTATAAATAACAGAAGACTGAATTTACTTGAAAGGCTCTTGACTTCTCTCTTGATATTTGTGTTTTTAAAATAATTTTTTAAAGAATAGTTTATTGATTTTTATAGAGTGAGGAAGGGAGAGAGAGAGAGAGAAACACTGATGTGAGAGTGTAACATCAATCGGCTGCCTCCTGCATGTGTCTTGACAGGGAATCTAACCAGCAACCTTTCAGTGCACAGGATGAAGTCCAAGCAACTGAGTCACACTGGCCTGGGCAGGACATTTGTGTTTTTAAAACGGGTCCGTCATTACAGCCAAGTCCAGAACAATTTCCAGAGGAATAAATTTCTCCTTCTTTTCTTTCCTTTTTAAGATCAGCAGTCTTGCCGTTTAGATTCTTGCTGTGCAACTTACTGTCTTCTCCCAAGGAAGGTAATTTCTCTATAAATCGGGACAGTGATGCCTTGGTAATTACTTTGCTGAGCTGCAGGGACAGGATGCTCCAGGGGCCTAAAGACCAGCTACCTCGTGGGGCCGGCAGTGAACGCGGCCGTGTGCTGTCCTCTGATCAGTAGCCCCATCCTGACACCCTCCTGCACTCATAAACGGAAACCAGCAGACAGATGGAGGAGCTCCTCTGGCATCGACTAGTCAACACCAGCCCTGTTTAGATCTGCAGAGGTCCGTGTCTTCCAGAGTCAGCTCTG